AAGTGCGCTGCTCCCCGGTAAGGACAACAGCGCGTGTTCGTTCCCCACTGCATACACCTGTGGTCCGGAGTTTTGCAAATATCTCAGCACTTCATACGAGTTATATTTCACAACATACCCTGCCATTAGGAAGAAAAAGGCAGTAAATAAAAGAGTTAATACAGTATAGCTTTCACTAAACACTTCAAAGATAGTGGAAGGAAGGTGTCTCCTTAGTATACTAAATGATAATGGCATAAAAAAAAACCGGCGGTGTAAGAAAAATGAGATACGAATAAGAAATAGAGATTATTCTTCATAAAGTAAGGAACGGATGTTATATCGCGGGCAATCATCGAATTATATTTGAACAAGGCGACAGAGGGATATCTTAAGCAGAATAAATTAGTGGTTGTGAACATGTAGAGATAAGGAACTCCATCCAAGATAACAGCAGAGACCCTGTCAATTTCACGAACAAAGTGACACAATTCCGCTATCCACATAGAACTGTCATTACATTCAAAATTTTGGAGGAGAAGATCGCCTAGGAGTTCTATATCGATCTGTCACTGATTCAGTGTGATCACTGCTTAACTGTTCGAGCTTAAAACGTTTCCGAGAAAAATCCATCGCAGAGATTAAAAAAAGGTCCTCTAGGTCAACTGTGCTCGAGCACGAATTGTCGCCACACGAATGAAGACTAGGATTTTGCAACAGAAAAACTTTATACTGCTAGTCAGGCCAAGAAATAGTATTGTAGTGTAAACTCCTGCCAACGGGTGTATCATTGTGACAACCCCTGTCACCGTGTATCATCTTGTCTATTCTGTAGTCCAGTGGAGGATTCCAACCATTTTTGCACACTGGCATTCGTCAACAGAGCTTCTCGAAGTATTTCGAAAATTGCAATGTTCTGCTTCAATTATGTTGCCTCGTCCTAACCTCGCTTCATCAAGTATTTCAAGAATCGTGGTCTTAAACAGTAAAACACACAAGCACGAACACAGTTCTCGTTAACATTTGGAATAGAGTAAAAGCAAATGGGTTTCCACCAACAACAAGGAAGAGTCATGTAGTTCTAGAAAACTTGCAAATGTGGGCCACAAAGGCGTCAATTGTCAATCTCAATGCTGGATTTTGTGCTCAGATTTAGTTTACACCGGGCCTCGTTATTCGCTTCTATAATATGATTCCACAAACACCAACGTGTAGCACCAGAGTCAAGCAAAAATCTGGGAGCGAACTAAGTGTTCATGAATTTCGTGTCTATATATATATATATATATATATATATATATATATATAAATGAGTTAAAAAGGATTACTTGATCGGAAAATTTTTGCCAAGTAGTGGCAGCTACACTGGTAATTATACCAAATCGTTTCTCAAGATTAGGATTGGATCAAGGTAGGCGTAGTTGATTTCAAGAAACACCAGCTAAGTAGGAAAGGCATTTCCACCTTTTCCAATTGTCTACAACAAATGTTGTTTAGCACGAATAATATACCTAGTCTCGTCACTATCACTATCATAATGCGGTTATTTAATGATGACCACATTTTGTGGATAATATTCCAATATCACAATGACAAAACAGTTTGACTCTAACAACTTTGTGCATTCCTCTAAAATTGAGGTAAGGAGATAGAAGAACATGTGAGACGAGTAGCGGTCGCCCACCAATAAATAAACGCCAAGACTACTATGAAAGTAGACAACAAGCAACCCTGGAGTCTAAGAAGCCTTCTACGGTGGAGCCTAGTGGGCTTTCTATTCACATAACTTTTTCAAAAATGGCTTCATGCTTGCACATCCCGATAAGCATAATGCTTCTAGTGTTCATTGGAAGTAGGAGTACCCCTAGACTAAGTTTTCGCATCGTAGGCGCTATTGAGGGCTTTACTTGTGCCCGCTAGATTCACTGGATCTCAGAGTGGGTGGTTACGGTTAGTCTCCGCCATATCTCTATATAAAACCTGGCAAAATGGAGACCAATACGTCTGGGATTCTTAACACGAAGAAGATGACTAAAGAAGAAAAGTCCAGTATGTTTTAGAAATACGCCACCAGAGTATCAAGTAATACACCTGGTCTGCGTTGCAGCTGCTACTGGGTCGGAAATCAATGCTAAAAATTTAAGAATCCTACGCGAAATGTCGCTCACGTATTCGATAACGAGACATTCCCTCATGTACGAAAAACAGATCACCCAGTGAAAGAGTTCAATGACTAAAAACATTTATTACTGCAAAACATGGGTTCGAAGCCTAAGCAACCTGCATGCAATTAGACAGATACAGTTGCGAATTACGCTTTGAAGTTAGTATGTATTTTTCGTATATTATGGCACATCAACCCTTAAAGCAAGCTTCTATTGCATTCACTGCTTCTGTGCCCATAAATTTTGGTGTTTCTTCATTGCCTAGGACTCCGCCAGCAAGAAGTAACTGACTTATTGCATTGGACAGCTTCAACTGTACCCTTGTACGATTCTTAGAGTCGCAAATGAGCCCCATGTAAAAATGAATAACCTTTAAAAAAGGTAACAAAGCAAGAATGTAAGGAAATGTTTTCACCAAACTAATATATAGAGGGTGAGGTGGCACCTTCTCAGAAAAACGCTTCACTCGTGTAAAACGAGGATTCGTATTGAGGTCCTCTTCTAAACAAACGGCTTCAGTGATATTCCTCATTAGAATATAAAAGCAGTTGGAGGTGACAAGAAAAGCAAGACTAAAAAGGTGCTAAACGGGAAGGAAAAAATTCACTGAATATTTCCTTCCATTAACGGAGGCCCTAGGTGAGTGAATCACCTCTATCGCCTGCCACCTGTAGTCCTGTTGATCGTCGAGTAACTTGAGCGGGCGCCAGTAAATCTTCCATTTTTCCATGTCTCGTGCAAGAGTAGTCCAGTGGGCTCTGCTCGCTCTAGGAACTCGTTGAGCATCATAACTTTCTTCTAGACTCTTCGCGAAGAACTCTGACCATTGGGTCGGTGGCCTTCCTGCAGCACATTTAGCATCCCGAGAAATCCAGTAACTAACAGCTCTTGTCCATCGGTTGTCATTCATATCCACTACGTGTTCTTCCGACCTTACCTTCGGCTGTTTAGCGTACAGAACGGCATCTCTGATTTTTGATAGTTGACGAAGGCCTTTCGACTGCGCGCCCAAGAACGCTGAGTGATCCTTCATCCTGATTACGCAGCGACCAGGTTTCCAACGGATACTTCAACGCAAGCAATACCTCTGAGTCGAAAAGGTGGGCACAAAATCGGCTGTTCTTTGTTCCCAAAGCCACTCCTCTCCTTCTGTTCAGCTCTGGGCTAAGTCCTTCAACTTGTTGATTTCCCGACCTAGATAGATATAACTGGAGCATTCGGAGATATTCGTTCCGAGACCTGCGAATGCGAGCGAATAGCTTTGGAATCGAAGACGACTAGAGTGAAAAGTTAAAACACGATAAACAGTACGCGGATAGGGCGATAGTTGCCGATAGTTGTGGTCGCTCTTCTTAAACAATAGCGCGAACCTGCTAGTCTTCCATAGGACTAGGAACTTCGAATTCTTACAGGTATCGTGTGAAGAACCGAGCCAAGGTGCTTATGAGGACTGGAGGAAGGTTCACTGGGCATTCGGATCATAACCTCTGCGGACCTGGCGCTATTTGATTTTTCACCAATGAAACAGCATGTCGGATTTTGGAAGGAAAACCGGTGGTACAACATATCCATTCTTGATGGCAGGAGGACGTGCCTATTGAAGAGATCTGAGTAGTAATCGTCAATGGTTTTCTCCATTGAGTTTTTTGACGCTGTAACTTTCCCGCCTGGGGTCGAAGTGGAATTGTCTTTTTCTAACAAATGTTCAAGTTTTGGTGGACAGCGTGAATGCTTCTTAGCTCGTTCGAATCTACGTGGGCATATAAACTCTAGTGTTTGTGGAGATCGAAGCTTTTTTGAGATTTTTTAACTCTCAGCTTTGATAGCTCTAACGTGAAGATTCATGATGTGCCCATCGCATCTCCCTTCAATGCCTGTCAACAACGGAATCTTCTCAAGAGCCGACCAACGATCTAAAGGAGGTTTAAGAGTCCCACTCGTAACCGCACGTCTCTACAAAGTCTCCGAAACATACGACAGCCATTGACCAATTACAACAACCACAGCAACCACAACAACCACAACAACTTATAGCAACCTCGCATCGGCTGAACATTATCACTTCATAGGAGCAAATATATTAATACATCGATTATTTCGTATAGAAGATGTGTCTTTTCTGTTATTAAAAAAGTTTCAGTTTGTGGCGGTTTCGAGGTTTTTTCTTGAACTTAGGGGCTTCCTCTCCTTTCCGTGAGAAGTGGAGTCTCGCACGATAGAGGGAATGTTCTAAACTCGAGTAGAACTTTGAAACCACAGCGACATCAGTCCGGCTATACTTTCTATTCACTGTGATGTGATCTATTTCGTTATGGCTCCCCTTCTATTAAATAGGAACATCTCATTCAGATAGGTAACGTGTGAAGAATTGAGCCAATCTATTGATGAGGATTGCCGGAAGGTTCTCCAGGTGTTCAGTCCATATTCTGTTCAGTCCAAGCACGAACACACTGCTCGTTAATGGAGAAGAGTAAAAATAAATGGGTTTTCACCAACCTCAAGTCAATCTTCAAGCTCAAGTCAACTTCAGCTTGCAAATGTGAACCACAAAAGCATCACCGCACTGTTACATGTCGCGGTTGGACTTAGCAGTGCTACGTTGTTCGCTTCTTGAATGTGATTCCAGAAACACCGACGTGTGGCACCAGAAGCAGCAGGACACTATGTCGGACTAGAACGAAAAGAAATATATGAAGAAATTACTTCCATCTGGAAAACAGAAACCCGAGAGCGAACTGAAAGTTTATAAATTTCGTGTCGATATGTAAAAACGACCTGAGTAAGACTACTTGCTCAAGACGTTTTTGTCTAGTACCGCCAGCATCGCTGGTTATTGTAGCGCAAATCCTTTCCCACGGCTCAAATTAGATCAAGACGGGTGCAAGTAATTTTATATACTGCAAACTGGACAGAAAAAGCGTCCTCACCTTTTCCAGTTGTCTGCAACAATTCTTGCTTATTAAGAATAAGACACGCGATCTTG